GAAGTTATCTGATTCTGTCACCTACACAGAGTTAGGTTTTATGAGGTTAGAATCTCTTTCAACTCCTGAGAAACTTGCCTTATCTCTTAGGAGGTGTTACAATTGGCAGGTTCTGTGGACAGAGAGACTCCAACTCTCTTGGGGGCTTTTACAGCTCCTATGACCCTCCTGTGACATTCCTAACTCACACACATACTGGCCACATGTCGCTGGGCCTCTCAGGAAGGGAGGGCGAAGAAGAATAAAGGAGAAATGGATACTCTTAATAAAATGTAGTCTGCGTCCTTCACTGTGTGTTGCGCACGTTTGCGACACCCTCATCACAGGGATGGTAAAAAATTACCATAAAGCCTAATTAATCAAATCTGGTAAGAGGCATCATGCTTCTGAGTCCAATTGTTTGGATATGGTAAAAGGATTCATACTTCCATGTATATGATTCACCCTCATATGGTTAATATTAACAATTTAAGCCATTCTTATCAAAAAAAATATATATAAAATCAGGAACATAAAATTATACAAATAAAGATATATTAAAAAAAAATATTAAGCAAAAATAAAAATATTTTTTTGTGATAAGAATGGCTTGAATTGTTTATAACAGGTCTGTAGGTGACCTGCATAGCATCAGCGATCTACTAATCACTGGTGCAATGCTTTCCAGGCTCCCTTGGAGAAAAATAATAAATGCACTTTCTTTACCTGCAAAAAAAAGTGCATTTATTATTTTTGTCAAAAAGGTTGTATTCGTAACTATAGCATACAATTAGCTTTGAAAAAGGTGCTTGAAAATGATTTCTGAAATATTCAGTTGATAGTGTTCATGATAACAGGAAGAGAACAAATCTCCCAAGAAATAACACATCCTAAATACTATGATTTTAATGGGAATGAATGGATTAAAACTTCCTGACTTTGTGGGGATTCTAAAACTGTTTCCTTTGAGTTGTCAGTGGATAGAATAGAGCCCAGACATATTTTCCTTAGCAGTGTCCTCTAAAACCTGTGCACCTCTGTGTTCTAGTTCTTTCTCCAGTGCGTGTATCGCCTCGCCTTCTGTTTTAGCTCTTCCCACACTGTCTGCAATAGCTGACAGTATTGTGGACAGTAGTTACTCTGGCAGCTCTCCTTCCACCGCTTACAACTACATTCTCTGGCATCCTCAGTGTACACACACACTTCTTTCAGTGTCCCCTTCTAGTTCACACTGCTTTTTCTGGAATCTCTCCCTCGTCTATCTACTCTTTAATTTCAGGAAGTGCCCTGGTCTACAAATATTCAGATGCTGCGTTTATCTGTCTCTGATATTCCACATTAAGCATTATCTACAATGTTTTCCTTCCTGTTCTGAGACAAACTACCAAACAGATTTAAATGCCCCTGATATTTGATATATTCACAGGTCCTACATGTTCTGCCTGTATTTTCTCGCTAAGCCCCACCCCTTCAGCTTAGTCAAAAGTGTGTCATGCCTGGTGCAATCCACTGCTTCACATATTAAGAGAAAGGGTATATCAATTTAGTGACTAAATACGTATCCAGTAGTGCCTATGTAGTGGTAGACAAAACTATTTCAGCCTAAATTAACCAGTTAATAAACAAGAAAACATTTGTTAGTGCTGCAGGGACATTGGTGTAAAATATCCTCTTTTTGTTGCACTGTCATTGTGGAGTTTTTGTTTTGTAATTAACTCTAAAATTTAAGGCATTAGAAACCATTTTTTGAGTAAGGACCTCTGGGATGGCTTTGAACCAGTCTGGTTTAATGTTACTGGTTTTTTATTCGGTACTGCTGATTTAATTTTTATACAATTTAACCATTTCAATACCGTGCAATTTTACACCTTCCTGCCCAGGCATTTTTCACGTTTCAGCGCTCTCACACTTTGAATAACAATTGCGTGGTCATACAACATTGTACCCAAACTAAAATTTTATCATTTTCTTCACACACTAGAGCTTTCTTTTGGTGGTATTTAATCACCACTGTGGTTTTTATTTTTTGCTAAATTAACAAAAAAAAAAAAACAAAAATTTTGAAAAAAAAAAACACGTTTTTCTTTGTTTCTGTTATAAAAGTTTACAAATAAATAATTGTTCTTCATAAATTTAGGCCAAGATGTATTCTGCTACATGTCTTTGGTGAAAATAACCCAAATTAGGATGTATTTTTTAGTTTGTAGGAAAGTTATAGAGTTCACAAAACTATGGTATATATCTGAATATTGATCAATCCTGAAGTACTGACAGCCAATCTAATTTCTTGAGGTCCAAGAATGTCAGAATAGTACAGATATCCCCCAAATTACCCCTTTTTTTGCAGAGCAGAGTAGACAGTCCGACGTACTTCATAAGAGGCATGGCGAGTTTTTTGAAGTTGTATTTTTTTGTCATAATTTTTCGGAAAATGAAAAAATTTAAAACATTTTCACTATTTTTTTTTTTTACATACTGTCACAAGTGCAGTACAGCGTCATCATATAACTGGCATGGCGGTGAACAGGGACACTGACTGGTGACAGTATGAAAAATTATTTTTTTTATTTTAAATTTTTTTATTACTTTTTTTTTTATTTTTTTTAAGATTTTTTTTTATATTTTACTATGACCAAAGTAGTACAATGTTACCATAGTAACATTGTACTACTTTGGGGAAGTGATCAGTATTTTTTTTTTTTTACACAATTTGCTTATAGCAAAGAATTACTTTGCTATAAGCAAGCATTTACCTGAATGAAATCGATTCACTCTGTTTTTTTTTTTTTTGCTTAGCTGTGATTTGGTCACAGCTAATCACATGACATGTGCATATGATTAGCTGTGACCATTCACAGCTAGGCACTACTATACAATGGATGGCATGAATGAAGCCATCCATTGTATACAACTGTCATGTGACCTGCTGTGATTGGTCACAGCAGGTCACATGGTACCAGCAACGGGGGCCGGTACTCAGATCTGTCATCGGCCGTGTCCGAGGTACACGGCCGGTGACAGATCGCGCCGCTGCGCGGCTCTGCATTAGCGCAAACTGCGCATGTGCGGGAGCACGCCAAATGGCGTGCACCCGGAATGCTGAAGCACTTTTGAAGCCGCCAAACGGCCATTGGCCGGGCGGCTAATGGTTAAATATCTCAGTTGTATTACGCTCCTGTGAAGCTAATAGTGCCATTTACCATAGGAGGTTTGATTTGCCTGACATTTCAAAATTTTTAGACTTGTCCTTAACCACTTCCTGACCGGCCGTTGTATATAAACGGCTGGACGGTGGCAGTGCAGGGTCGGGTGGCCGTTTATAAACGGCCGCCCGCATCCGAGGCTCGTGCGCGGCTCCTAGAGCGCGCACCCGCGAGCCCGGTGATCGCCGTGTCCCTCGGATCCCGGCGATCACCTGACGTGGTACAGGACCGTCCTGTACCATGTGACCGACTGTGTCCAATAAGGACACAGTCTTAATGTAAATAGAAGCCGCATGGTGCGGCTTCCGCCCCCTTGACCGCGCACGCGCGTGCCCAGAGATCGCCGGGTCCCTCAGATACAGGGGATCAGGTAACATGGTACAGGACCAATGAAATCGTCCTGTACCATGTGACCAACTGTGTCCAATAAGGACACAGTCTAAATGTAAACAGAAGCCGCATGGTGCGGCTTCCGGCTCCTTCTCACACGGAGTTCTATCTGTGAGAGAAGGAGCCGGATAGCCTGAGCAAGCCTGATCGCAAGTGTCCCTAATTGTCCCTGATCACGTGTCCCTGACTGTCTGTCCCTGATCAGTGTCCCTGACTGTCTGTCCCTGATCACAAGTGTCCCTGACTGTCTGTCCCTGATCACAAGTGTCCCTGACTGACTGTCTGTCCCTGACCACAAGTGTCCCTGACTGTCTGTCCCTGACCACAAGTGTCCCTGATTGTCTGTCCCTGATCACAAGTGTCCTTGACTGTCCCTGATCGCAGTGTCCCTGATCGCCAGTGTCCCTGATCGCCAGTGTCCCTGATCGTCAGTGTCCCTGATCGTCAGTGTCCCTGATCGTCAGTGTCCCTGATCGTCAGTGTCCCTGATCGTGTCCACACAGCGGCCCAGCTGTGTCCCTGATGTCCCTGATCACTGCATAGCGTCCCAGTGTCCCTGATCTCCACACCAGCAGGTCTTGATCACCTCCACACTACCAGGTCCTGATCATCATACCACCAAGTCTTGATCACCGCCACACCTGCAGGTCCCAATCACAGCTATACCAGCGGGTCCTGATCGCCGCCACACTAGCAGATCCTGATCACAGCCATACCAGCAGGTCCTGATCACCACCAAAGATCTAGTGGGTCCTGATCCCCGCCATACCAGCGGGTTCTGATCGCCGCCACATCATTGGATCCTGATCGCTGCCAAACCCACGGGTCCTGATCACCACCATACCAGTCCTGATCACCTGAGAGCCATTACAGCAAACTGTGAGTACTTTTTAGTCTTTGCACACAGTTTACACACACACACACTCACAAAACATTGCCTGCCAGCTCACGGTGTCTCTGATCACACATTTAGTATCGCCATATTCAGGAAGAGTTATAGAATGTGTTTTGGGGTGTAATTTTAAGTATGCCTAATATGATTAGCTGTGACCATTCACAGCTAGGCACTACTATACAATGGATGGCATGAATGAAGCCATCCATTGTATACAACTGTCATGTGACCTGCTGTGATTGGTCACAGCAGGTCACATGGTACCAGCAACGGGGGCCGGTACTCAGATCTGTCATCGGCCGTGTCCGAGGTACACGGCCGGTGACAGATCGCGCCGCTGCGCGGCTCTGCATTAGCGCAAACTGCGCATGTGCGGGAGCACGCCAAATGGCGTGCACCCGGAATGCTGAAGCACTTTTGAAGCCGCCAAACGGCCATTGGCCGGGCGGCTAATGGTTAAATATCTCAGTTGTATTACGCTCCTGTGAAGCTAATAGTGCCATTTACCATAGGAGGTTTGATTTGCCTGACATTTCAAAATTTTTAGACTTGTCCTTAACCACTTCCTGACCGGCCGTTGTATATAAACGGCCGGACGGTGGCAGTGCAGGGTCGGGTGGCCGTTTATAAACGGCCGCCCGCATCCGAGGCTCGTGCGCGGCTCCTAGAGCGCGCACCCGCGAGCCCGGTGATCGCCGTGTCCCTCGGATCCCGGCGATCACCTGACGTGGTACAGGACCGTCCTGTACCATGTGACCGACTGTGTCCAATAAGGACACAGTCTTAATGTAAATAGAAGCCGCATGGTGCGGCTTCCGCCCCCTTGACCGCGCACGCGCGTGCCCAGAGATCGCCGGGTCCCTCAGATACAGGGGATCAGGTAACATGGTACAGGACCAATGAAATCGTCCTGTACCATGTGACCAACTGTGTCCAATAAGGACACAGTCTAAATGTAAACAGAAGCCGCATGGTGCGGCTTCCGGCTCCTTCTCCTCACACGGAGTTCTATCTGTGAGAGAAGGAGCCGGATAGCCTGAGCAAGCCTGATCGCAAGTGTCCCTAATTGTCCCTGATCACGTGTCCCTGACTGTCTGTCCCTGATCAGTGTCCCTGATCACGTGTCCCTGACTGTCTGTCCCTGATCACAAGTGTCCCTGACTGTGATCACAAGTGTCCCTGATCACGATGTGTCCCTGACTGACTGTCTGTCCCTGATCACAAGTGTCCCTGACTGTCTGTCCCTGATCACAAGTGTCCCTGACTGACTGTCTGTCCCTGACCACAAGTGTCCCTGACTGTCCCTGTCCCAGTGTCCCTGACCACAAGTGTCCCTGATTGTCCCTGATCGCAAGTGTCCCTGATCACAAGTGTCCTTGACTGTGTCCCTGATCGCCAGTGTCCCTGATCGCCAGTGTCCCTGATCACAAGCGTCAGTCAGTGTCCCTGATCGTCAGTGTCCCTGATCGTCAGTGTCCCTGATCGCCACACAGCGGCCCAGCTGTGTCCCTGATCACTGCATAGCGTCCCAGTGTCCCTGATCTCCACACCAGCAGGTCTTGATCACCTCCACACTACCAGGTCCTGATCATCATACCACCAAGTCTTGATCACCGCCACACCTGCAGGTCCCAATCACAGCTATACCAGCGGGTCCTGATCGCCGCCACACTAGCAGATCCTGATCACAGCCATACCAGCAGGTCCTGATCACCACCCCAGCAGATCCTGATCACCACCAAACTAGTGGGTCCTGATCCCCGCCATACCAGCGGGTTCTGATCGCCGCCACATCATTGGATCCTGATCGCTGCCAAACCCACGGGTCCTGATCACCACCATACCAGTCCTGATCACCTGAGAGCCATTACAGCAAACTGTGAGTACTTTTTAGTCTTTGCACACAGTTTACACACACACACACTCACAAAACATTGCCTGCCAGCTCACGGTGTCTCTGATCACACATTTAGTATCACCATATTCAGGAAGAGTTATAGAATGTGTTTTGGGGTGTAATTTTAAGTATGCCTATGTTGTATAATAGAAATATCTCATAGATTGACAACTTTGCGTAAAAAAAAAAAAACATTTTCATTTTCTTTTCACATTTTCCAAAAACTTTTGGCAAAAAATGCAGTCTTCAGAAGACTCCACATGACTCTTAAAATATACCTTGGGGTGTTTTCTTTCCAAAATGGGGTCATTTTGTGGGTAATTCCATTGTCCTGATGCTCCAGGACCTCCAAAATGGCATTAGGTAGTCAAGAAATTAGATGTGTCATTTTTTTCCCCTAGAACTCCAAAAGGTGCTTATTGGATGTGGAGCCCCCCTATGTGGCCAGACTGTGAAAAAGTCTCACACATTTGGTTTCGCCATATTCAGAAAGAGTTATAGAATGTGTTTTGGGGTGTAATTTTAAGTATGCCTATGTTGTGTAATAGATATATCTCATAGACTGGCAACTTTGCATAGAAAAAAATACATTTTCATCTTCTTTTCACATTTTCCAAAAACGTTTGGCAAAAAATGCAGTATTCAGAAGACTCCAAATGACTCTTAAAACATACCTTGGGTTGTTTTCTTTCCAAAATGGGGTCATTTTGTGGGTAATTCCTTTGTCCTGGTACTCCAGGACCTCCAAAACTGTGATAGACAGTCAAGAAATTAGATGTGTAATTTTTGCCCCTAGAACGCCTAAGGGTGCTTATTGGATGTGGGGCCCTTCTATGTGGCTAGGCTGTGAAAAAGTTTCACACATTTGGTATCACCATACTCAGGAAGAGTAGCAGAATGTGTTTTGGGGTGTAACTGCAAGTATGCCTATGCCGTGTGAGAGAAAGAACTTGTTAAAATGACAACTTTGTGAAAAAAAAATTAAAATTATTTACTTTCATCATTTCCCCTTAAAAAATTTGCAAAAAATTACAACTTCAAAAAACTCTCCTTGCTTTTCATTAAATACCTCAGACTGTCTACTTTCCAAAAAGGGGTCATTTGGGGGGTATTTGTATTGTCCTGGCATTTTAGGGCCCTGAGAAACTATATAGGTAGCCAGTACATCAGGATTGATAAATTTTCAAATATATCAAATATATATACCGTGGTCTGTGGACTCTATAACTTTAATACAGACTAAATAATACAAACTGATTTGGGTTATTTCTACCAAACAAAGGTAGCACAATGGATTTTAGCCTAAATTAATGAAGAAAGTATATTTATTTGCAAAATCTAGTAACAAAAATGAAGAAAAACATGTTTATTTTCAAAAGTTTCAGTCTTTTTCCACTTTTCTAGAAAAAAATAAAACCCCCAGTGGTGATTAAATACCACCAAATGAAAGCTCTATTTGTGTGAAAAAAATGATAAAAATTTCATTTGGATACAGTGTCGTTTGTGAGAACTGGCATTCACAATGTGAGAGCACTGAAAAAAATTAGCCTGGTCAGGAAGGGGGTAAAAGTGTCCGGTCTGGAAGTGGTTAAAGTTCTTTTTATTGGTCCTATGTGTATAATCTTCTGATAGCCAGACTTAGATTTATGGGTCCCAATACCCCCAGAGCTTTCTTTATTGTGGTTCATTGACACATTTATTATTATTATTATTATTATACAGTATTTATAAAGCGCCAATAATTCACTCAGCGCTGTACATTACAAAGGGGGACAGAACATGTGACAGAACAATACCAACACAATGCAAAACATGAGGGGATTGAGGGCCCTGCTCTTTCGAGCTTACAATCTAGGAGGAAGGGGATAGTGGTACAGGAGGAGATAGCTGTGGGGGATGGAGTAGTAGGAAGAGTGGAGGAGGTTGGCAAGTTAGCAGGGGGTGGGGTAGGCTTCCTTGAAGAGATGGGTTTTCAGGGTGCGCCTAAAGGAGAGGAGAGTAGGTAAATAATCTGATGGGTTGGGGCAGGGGGTTCCTGAGGATGGGTGACACCCTGGAGAAGTCCTGGAGGCGGGCATGGGAAGAGGAGACCAGGGAACTAGAGAAGGAGGTCTTGTGAGGAGCGGAGTGTGCGTGCTGGGCGGTACTTGGATATTAGGTCAGTGATGTAGTTCGGGGCAGTATGGTGGACAGCTTTGTACGTCAGTGTTAGGATTTTGAATTTGATCCGTTGCGCAATCGGAAGCCAGTGGAGGGATTGGGAGAGGGGGTGGCGGAAATGGAGCGGTTGGAAAGGTGAATGAGTCTGGCAGCCGTATTCAGGATTGACTGAAGCGGGGATAGCCAGCGGCGAGGCAGGCCGGTGAGGAGGGAGTTGCAGTAGTCGAGTCGTGATATGATGAGGGAGTGGATGAGCTGTTTAGTGTTTTCTGGGGTTAGGAACGTGCGTATTTTGGCGATGTTGCGAAGGAGGAGTCTGTACGAGTTTGTTAAAGATTGGAATTGGGGCTGGAAGGATAGGTTGGAGTCCACAATGACACCAAGTACTCTGGCCTGCAGGGTGGGTTTGATGGTGGCGTTGTTGGATGTGATGGAGAAGTCAATGGGGGGGGTGTCAGGGCTGGGGGGAAGACAAGAAACTCGGTTTTGGAGAGGTTTAGTTTAAGGAAGTGGAGTGACATCCAGTCTGATATGTTGCTCAGTAGGTGTGTGATTCGGGCAGAGACTGAGGGGGTGAGGTGGGGGGTTGAGAGATAGATTTGTGTGTCGTCGGCATAGAGGTGGTAGTTGAAGCCGTGAGAGTGTATGAGTTGGCCAAGGGAGGAGGTGTAGATGGAGAAGAGAAGGGGCCCAAGGACAGAGCCTTGAGGGACCCCAACAGAGAGGGGGAGTGAGGGGGAGGTGGTAGCATTATAGGTAACGCTGAAGGAGCGTTGTAACAGGTAGGATGAGAGCCAGGAGAAAGCAGAATCTCTGAGGCCGAGGGAGTGTAGTTTTTTTGAGGAGGAGGGGGTGGTCGACTGTGCCGAAGGCCGCAGAGAGGTCAAGGAATAGGAGCACTGAATGGTGGCCATTAGCTTTGGCGGTTAGAAGGTTGTTGGAGAGTTTGAGTAAGGCGGTTTCGGTAGGGGACGGAAGCCAGACTGTAGAGGATCGAGGAGGTTGTTGTCGTTGAGGTGAGAGCATAGGTGAGTGTAGACGAGGCGCTCGAGGAGTTTAGATGTAAATGGGAGCAGGGAGATGGGTCTGAGGTTGTTCGGGTCATTGGGGTCCAGGGAGGGCTTTTTAAGTATGGGGGTGATGTGTGCATGTTTCAGAGGGGAGGGGAAAGTGCCTGAGGAGAGGGAGAGATTGAAGATGTGGGTGAGGGAGCGTAGGATGGAGGGGGAGGAAGGTCGTAGGAGTTGTGAGGGGATAGGGTCGAGGGGGCAGGTGGTGAGGCGGGCATCAGAGAGGATCTTGGAGACTTCCTCGATGTTATCTTCTGCCTGAAAAAAACTATTAGATTCTTTAAGCATGGAAAGTTTTCTTCTGAAATGAAAAGCTGTTGTCCCACCTAAACTTGCATAAATGGTGGAATCCATTCCTAAACGTATTTAGAATAGTAGATCCTGCTGTCAAAAATGGTTTGACAACCTTGTTATATCAACCTTGGCTTAGCAAGACAAGTGACCCTGCCTGGCAAACCTTCCTAGGCAATAACCTGCCCAGTACTTTGTAAATATTGGAGTAATTTAACTGCAAGCTCTTTGTGCCTTTAATTTGACCTAGTGGTCGCTTTTCTTCAATGGATGCATTTAGTGGAGAGCATTAATTTTAAATGTATGTATGCTTTCCTGTGTTCTGAAAACTGTGTGTGCAGTTTTTTGTTGGTTTCAATTTGTATTGCTTCTTTGTGCAAAAATTTGT